TGTCATGTTGCTTCTTTTCGATATATCCTCCGCCTTTGACAGCGTATGGTGGCCTAGCGTGCTCCAGCAGCTGCAGAGGTATGATGCTCCTAGTAACTTATACACATTAGTAAGAAGTTATCTCCAGGATAGAAGTGTCAAGATTAGAGGCAATTACTACGAGGTAGAAGCTTCCATAGAGAGAGGTTGCCCTCAGGGATCGGTGCTTGGTCCTGCTCTATGGAAGCTCGTCTTTGATGAGTTACTGGGAGTGTTAGAGGAGGAGCGGTTTCCTGCCACTGCTTACGTTGGCGACCTAGCTGCTGTGGTGGCCTCCAACAGCAGAGCTGGAGTCAAGAGAGAAGCAGAGCGATGCGCCAGCCTAGTCGCTAGATGGTGTGAGGGGAAGAAGATGAGGATGGCTGCTGCTAAGACTCAAGCCATCCTCCTTAAGGGAAAGACTGATAGGGCACACCCTATAACGATGTACATAGAAGGTCAGAGGATACGTCCAAGTGAGGTGGTAACCTACCTAGGGGTTAGGTTAGGTGTAGGCCTCAATATGACGCCTCATTTGGAATATCTGGCAGGTAGGGTGGCCCTAGCAATGAACGGTCTAAGTCGTGTGGGGGGCGCATTTTGGGGCCTTAGGTATCCAGCCACTATCACTATTTATAAGGGTGTTGTGGAGGGTATCCTTAGGTATGCGTCTCCCTTCTGGTTCCGAAACCTCACACTCAGACAAAGAAATAGGCTAGCATCGACTCAGAGAACTGCTCTGCTTCGGGTCACCAGAGCATATAGGTCTACGTCGCATGAAGCAGTGCAGGTCTTAGCGGGGGTGGTGCCTCTCGACCTCCTCCTGCGAGAAGAAGTGACCAGGTATGACTACAAGAAGGAGGGCTCAACTAGTCTATCGGAGAACCTACGGATGAGGATTATTGAAAACCCAAATAAATGGAAAAAGATTATCCGGGAGGAAACAATTGAAGATTGGAGCAGACGGTGGGTGACGACTCCGAAAGGCAGTACCTTAAGAAAATACTTTCCCACCGTTGAATCTCGGTTACAGGCGAAATGGGTCCTCCCGGACTATTGGGTTTCACAATTTCTCACGGGACATGGGGGTTTCAGAGCTAAACTCCATGGCTACGGACAGGATATAGATCCCCACTGCCCCGATTGTGGTGTTCCGGAGACTGTTGAGCATGTGGTCACGGCCTGCACTGCTTTCGACGAATTAAGAGCGAGGTTAATGAGAACCACGGGGATTTACGTCCTCACTGAGGAGGAGTTTCCTCAGTTGGTGAGTGAAGAAAACTTCTCGCGGTTCAAAGAGTTTATAAATGGCTGGAAGACGGCGGTGGGCCCAGCTCACTTTAACCTAGGTGCACGCAGGAGAAGAGGACCAGTCCCAGGAAGACCTCCGGATTCGGGAAGCCAGGCCTAAAGGAGCCAGGAAAAAGTAGAAGAGCTAGCTGTGTGCACAGCTTAGAATTTTGTAAACTGATATTATGGCAGTAGTGTGTTATTATGCATTAATGCTTAACATCACACTACTGCATACACCCGTGTTGCCCTGGTGGCATGGGAGGGTGGAAAACAAAACAAAACAAAACAACATAAGGTACATATGTAACAAAGTATCGAGCATTGAGGATTTTACGAGGATTTTGGATTGTAAGGATTGGATACGAGAGGAATTTGAAGGTTTGGTGCAGCCCCATAGCTCAACTCCTTAAGTCCAAATAGACCTTATTTCATGTCAGTCATGTAAATGAGTCTTTTGTAATTAATTGGAAGGCTAGAGCGTTTGTCTAGTAAGTGTTGAAGAAGTCGGAAACGTCGAGCTGTTTCTTGTCGTTTGTCCAGGTGGAGTCCTAGGGAACGACCAGAAAACTTAATTTTAATTTACTATAATTTATAATAACTTATTTTCAAAGATAGATTCATAGGTCAACTCTGCATATCGCCCGTTTATAGCAAACAATAATAGAGCAAACATTTAATGCAGCTAAAAAGCCGGTCATGAATATCGATCCAAAAATAGTTAAAATACCAAGGGGATGTCAAAGTCTGTGGATTACCGATTTCAACCATTTTTTTATTGACACATCTACCGTTCCTAGGAGTCGAATATAATATTCATATTTGATGATGATTATATTGATATATAACATATCAATATTAGTCAGAACAGACCATCTGGGACCAGAGTACTAACACAAGGAGAAGAAAGACCAATAAGGAGCTGCTTACAGAAAATTATCAATCAATATCTCATAATATGAAGGCACGAAGGTTAAGATGGGCGGGGCATGTATCTAGGAGCAATCCATCTGGAAGCCTCTATATGACAATGAATACCACAATAGAAGCCTAAGACCACGTGAAGGCCATAAATCAGATGGATAGATAGAATCAACAAAGATGCAATAGAGCTCATGCAGATAATTGGAATGAAATAGCCCAAGACAGGTAGAGATGGAGAAGGCTTGTTAAGGCGAGAAAATGCGACTTTATAATTATAATGGCTCTTATAATAAGATCATAATACCATATTTTATTTTATTTTGATTTTCGTTTTATATTTTACGCGAGGTATAATACAAATTGAAAAAAGCAAAGTATAATAACAATAAAATAAATAGACAATAATAATAATAATAATAAGAAGAAAATATATTAAAAGAATAATAAAATAAAAATACTTCGAAATTATTATTAGTAAATAAAAATAAAATAAATAAATAAACAGAAAGAAGAAAAATAAAAATAAAATGCTTTATTTTTCGTCAAGAAACTATAAAAAGAATAATAAAAAGAAAATGCTTTATGTTTCGTCAAGAAACTATAAAAAGAATAATAAAAAGAAAATGCTTTATGTTTCGTCAAGAAACTAGAGCACCATATCGGAACAAATCAAGGATTCGTTTCGAATTGTTCAGAATGGTGTAGAACATGAGTTTAGAGAGGAATAAAAATATTTAAAAAATATAAAAATTCCTGAGATTATGAAAAATACCAAAGAATTCAATGCAAGACTCGCATCATTCGGAAAATATGAAAGGATTTCCGATAAATAAAGTTGTTGCGAAAGGTTGAATTAAAGCAGCCAATACGAGATGAGAATTTAAATCAGACGCGTGGGCTGAGACACTACTCAATGCCCAAGTGGAATGAGTTACGGCTCGTGGCAGTAGTTTTAATAAGCTAACATTAAATTAATAGTTTCTTACATCACCTCAAATATTTGGAATGGTAAGGAAAAATGTGCGTTAAAACCATGATAGAGGGAGTGTGGCGGAATATATTCAGCATGAATAATGTTAATGTACTTTTTTGTTTTTACTATTTCATGGACTTCATCTACAAGTTATAGGTACTTATACTGTAGAGGAGAACTGAACCTTTAAGATTATTGTCACCTTTACGGTTTGCTGTCTTTCATCTAACTCAATGTCAAAAAGGAACACTTATATGAAACTCGATGAAAAAGAACTCCTTTTGACTGCAGATTGGTGTGAGTTTAAGTTTCAATTAAGCATCGAGTATTGTTTTATTTTAGAATAATTACAGAATTTAAGTAATTGTTTAATACAAACGTCTCTGCAATCTTATTAGCTGAAAGGAATCCTTCTTCATTGAATTTAATAAAAGGATTCCTTTTTAACTCTTGAATGGTATAAGTATGTATACCACCCTTAACCATTGGAGATGTGACTGGCCAAATTTGTTTTTTATGACCGCTATAAAATAATATTAATTGACCAAGAAAGGAATCAAACCCACTCTCCTTCCAGGCCCGTCCATCACCTTTTATATTGGTAGAGGAAGTGTGAGGATTGGTTATTTTTTAAATACATATATTGTGATCAATTAAATCGTTTGGGTTCTGAGGAATCGAACATTATCTTTCTAGTTAAAAAGAAATACAAGGCAATAAAATTAACAAATACTGGTTGTAATTAAGCAAGGGTACATAAAACTTAAATTTGAAATTTGCATTACTATTATTTTAAATTACGCGCTTGTCCTTTGAGGGTCGGCTGAAACGTAAAAGGATTTTGTTAGAACCGATGTTGGGGAATGATATTTCGACCGAATCAATGGAGGAAGGTTTCTAAGCAAGGATAAACCTTTCATATTGAATTGAATTGAATTTATTTGTTAAAGATTATTTGTACAAACCATACATATATGAATAATTTTATTTCACCTACATGAGTCTAGTTTATCATAACTGTACATTGATTTATTATAGATAGAAATTACATTCCAATTAATTTCTATCTACATTATCAATAAAACCATAAGAAAAAAAAAAGAAACAAACAGTTAATTGAACTGACCAACAATTATCCTTGGTTGGTGTGTGGAGCATCAGAGCTTAAGGAATCCTGTGAATTGCACGCTGACATTATGAACCAGTAAATCTTGTTAAGTTTCTCTATGTTATCTATTCGAAGTATGTCTTGTATCTTGTTTACATCACTTGGCGCAGAGAGAAATGCTCGTAAATGTTTGTGTCTGTCATATGTTAGGTTTTCACAGTACAGAAGGATATGGGACAGGCTGTTAGAAATGAATTGGTTACAGAAAGTGCAGGTTTCCTGGGCTTTGAAGTAGAAACTTTTGTTTTTCGTATAGAGCTTAATTAATTCGGGATTTGAAACTTTTAACTGAGTTATTGATAAACCTTTCATATATTTTTATTATTTTTCGGTAACGATCAACATAGTTATTCAGTATGTTTCTCGAAAACCACCTGGAAGAATGTTCAATTGCCCATTGGCTATTTTAACAGCTCTCGAAGTTTAGGGTTACATTTGAAGATAAGATTAAAATATTTCTCTCGCTGTCAATTTATCAGAGGGCCGTAATGAAGTGTTCCATGTTTATTACCCGCAGCTAAGCTATCGCCCACTAAGAGATACTAATCTGGCCTTATAGTATCAATTTCCAGAAATGATGTAACATATTACTGATAATCAGAGGGAAATATGTAAATTGGACCGCACAGGGTACGAGAACTAGTCCACTCAAGATTCTTTTGAGTCGTCTCCTTATCTGCCCCAGGTCCCGGGCTCTTGTTAAGGCAGGCCAAAGCCCCCCGGGAAGCTTCCTTGGAATCCTAGGGATAAAAAAAAATGTATAAAATTTATACATTAGCTTTAGTATAATGGAAAAACTACTGGTTAACTATAATTATTATTTTTATGTGATTTTATTTTGAAAATCTATTTTCTAAGTATATGTATATATATATATTTTTTTTTAAACATAATTATTTAAATTGGGAGTTAGATCACCTAATAATTATTCAATAAACTACAAAATGTTCATTGATCTTACTGTTTATTTGACGTTTTGATCCCGTTTTTTTTTTTAGTTAACTATGGGATACTCTTCATTTTTTTTAAATAGAGCCTCGATACTTCAGGCCAGGGACACACCGACAGCCTCAACACCGTCAACTAGCACAGATATTAAGCTACTGCATAACATCTGTATGTAATTTATAATTATAATTTATGTTATTTGTAATTATAATATAATTAAAATAAAATAAGTAGCTTAATATCTGCGCTAGTGGACGGTGCTGAGGCTGTCGGTGTGTTCCTGGCCTGAGGTATCGGGGCTCTACTTTCAAACATAGAAGGGGATCCCATTGTTAACTATAATATCCCGAGATCGAAACATCAAATAAACAGCAGGATCAATGAAAATTTTGTAGTTTATTGAATAATTATTAAGTGACCTAACTCCCAATTTAAATAATTATGTTAAAATATAATACTCAAAGGTCGATTGAAGAAATTATATATATATATATATATATATATATATATATATATATATATATATATATATATATATCTATAATATATATATATATATATATATATATATATATATATATATATAATACAAATCAGTAATATGGATCCCTTTTCCCACCTTCGGAAGCAATAGATTTTGAAAAACGGGGAGTCGACAGGTAGGGATTTTCATTGAGAAATAAAGAATTTTAAGTTATATGGTTATCTTCGAACTACTAGTTTCATGATATTGATTGAAACACGTAAGTGATATAAGTATTCTGATGATGCAAATTCTGGGGATCGAAACAAAGCATACTTCGACGAAGTATTTCGAGGTAGACATTAAGACCTAGTCGGGTCATATGGGACTCTAATTGGTTCCTGTGTTTTAATGTCCTAATACATATTTAAAAATATATACCATTATCGAGATAATCCTACTGACATCCCTACGTTTGGCGTGACCTCCACCCCCAAAATGTCAAAATAACCAGGTTCTATAGCCCAAATGGCCCAATATTTTTGTAGGCCACTTTTTTTTATTTTTCTATTTTGAGATGATATTATCTTACGATTCAAGCGAAAATCAAATGGGTATTCGTGAGTTTTTAGTACCGAATTAAATTGACTAAGTTTGCTGATCTCCAGATCGAAAACGCCACCATTACGAGAATTTTCGCAAAATAAATATTTGTAAGTAACAACGAGATGAAGAAGTAGGTCACGATGAGATTTTTATAGGATGTGAATAAGAATGGAAGAACGGCCTAAAAAATAAATAATAACGAATAAAAACGCTGCAAATTATTTTACAATGTTTTATTATTTCAAAACAATTATACATCTAAATTAACATTACCTTCCTAGTTAAAAATAAAAATAAATAAAAGGTGATTCCAATTAGTGGAGTGAAATTTTTTTTTATCATTAGTAGTATGCTAAAAAAAAATTAGCATTTCTTCAGTAACATATTCAAAATTTAAAAACCAAAACAAAGGATATAACATCTGCAGTAGAACATATAAAAAAAAACTAGAGACCATATCTTTGCTCCTAATTGTCCGATTGTAACGAAGTTATTGAATTTTTTGGTCGATCGCAATGTTTTATTATTGAAAATAATAAACCAAAAATATATAAAAATCGCGATATCTCTACTAATAGTGCTTTGATTTCGATGAAACTTCCTTCATTTTTTTAGAAAATTTAAATACCTTTGAAACATCTTATCACAACATCAACAAAAAAGTGTAAACTTTTTGAGTTATTTGGAATTTAATTTTACCATCCCTCGTAACTTTGTTTCCAGCTTCTTTTCGTTGAAGTATAGTATATAGGTAAATTTAAAGGGCGTCGAGAAAATTACTTTAGCGTAGTTTCATTGAAATCGGTACATTCGTTTAGGCGCTACAGTCTATAGCAACGCAGGTTTTTCGGCCGCCATTTTGAAAGTAAAAGGCAGATAGTAATGTCGATGAAGGAGGATCATCCCCGGGTGACTTCTGATTTTATATCCAAATTTGAAAAAAAAAATTGGTCCAGTAGTTTCGGAGAAAATGTGCGGACGGCATAAGGCGGACGTACAAAAAAATTTTTTATTCGTTTTTCGAATTCTACGTATCCTGAAACATGAAACCTCAAATTTTGAGATGGGGTTAAGTTTTTGAATTTTTTGGTGGATCACAATGGTTCATTATTGAAAATAATAAACAAAAAATAAACAGATCCGGTATAGCTTCTAAAGTACTATGACTGTCGTTATAACTTGGAAATTATCTAAATCAAATCATCGACAAAGGGAAGAAATATAGATATCATGGTGGATTAAGAAACTTTTGAACAATTCCCATTGGGTTGTTGAAGACTCAACCGAAATCGGGATCTTGTCTGGTGTATCTGAGGACGGATCGCAAACATGGTATCTTATGCAAATTGTATGGGTCGGCTGGAAGGGTTCCGCTGCTTCTGCTGGAGTGTCCTTGCCCCGGAGTGGGCTATGAAATTATAATGGGTCGGGGGCTTTCTATTGACAGTCGCCTCTGGAAGTGTGTCGTCAATAATGCTAAGAATAATGGACTCTCCTGGTCCCTGTTGACGCAGTCTGTCTTTGCTTCTTTGGCGGCTTGTGAATATTTATTTTTTTATTAAAACGTACATATTTATTAAATAAATACTACAAGTAAATGTAAACAAATCACAAGTAATGACACGAACAGATTTGTCCTGATAATACACAATCAGACACCCTGGAGGATTGTTAGAAATTGTGGAGGAAGCAAGGTTGGAAACAAGTGAGTTCGGATAGGACTTAAGCTTATTATGAAAGGATAAATATCTGGCTCGGCCAATTCAGCGAAATTAAGGATTTTTAATGATTTTATTTTTGACACTCTATATTATAAGTGTCGAATAGTTGGGGTGATCAGTCAAATAAGAACGCAAAAATAAATTATAATATTTATTTTGACATTTGCCGACGTTTCGACCTGAAGTTCAGGCCTTCATCAGGGCTAAGAAAAGAACCAAATAACAAGGTATGAGAAACATAAGTAGTAATGGTAAAAAAATTAAAGCAGAATGAAGTTGTTAGAATAATGACAATAGTAAGAATTAAGAGATAAATAATAATAACCGTTCATCCTTCGTCATTGCACACCTTATAACGGTTATTATTATTTATCTCTTAGTTCTTACTATTGTCATTATTAAAACTTTTTTATTGAGAAATATTACAATCTGTCTCAGTTAAGGACACTTATAATAGTGGGTAAAATGGTTGACTGTCGTGAATAATGAAGAGAAGAATAGTTGGGGTGATCAGTCAAATAAGAAGGCAAAAATAAATGTTAATATTTATTTTGACATTTGCAGACGTTTCGACCTGAAGTTCAGGCCTTCATCAAGGCTATGAAAAGAACCAGATAACAAGTTATGAGAAACATAAGTAGTGATGATAAAAAAATTAAAGTAGAATGAAGTTGTTAGAATAATGACAATAGTAAGAACTAAGAGATAAATAATAATAACCGTTACAAGGTGTGCAATGATGAAGTATGAACGGTTATTATTATTTATCTCTTAATTCTTACTATTGTCATTATTCTAACAACTTCATTCTGCTTTAATTTTTTTACCATTACTACTTATAATAAGGTAAATGAGTCTTCTTTAATTAATTGAGTTATATACTTTTGATTAATATATATTCTTTTGATTATTATTTTGTTCTATTTATTTTATTTGTTTGTACATATAGTGTGAATGTCATCCTACCTCACTATAACCAATGTCCAAGAGACAGATTGTTATAATACTCAATAAAGAAATAAAAAAAAAAATTTTTTTTGTATACAAATACAACAAGTAAATATGCGCAAATATAAATAATGGCATGTACAGGCTTGAAGAGTTACTACCCAGTGGTAGCACTCTCTAAATAATTTTAAGTAAGAAGATCACGAGGCCATCTCCTTTTCAGACGCCTAGGAGGATTATCAGGAATCGAGAAAGAAGCAAGAGTGGAAACAAGCGGATTTGGATGGGACTGAAGTTTATCATGAAAGGATAGATATCTGGCTCGAGCTAAATCAGCGACATATGGTACATTAAGGTCTTTATGAATGGTTTTATTTGTGACAAAGTATGGAGCATTAAGGATTTTACGGAGGATTTTGGATTGTAAGGATTGGATACGATAGGAATTCGATGGTTTGGTGGAGCCCCAAAGCTCAACTCCGTATGCCCATATAGGTCTTATTATAGTTATGTAGATAAGTCTTTTGTAATTAATAGAAAGTTTGGAGCGTTTGTCTAGTAAGTGTTGGAGCAGTCAGAAACGTCGAGCAGTTCCTTGTCGTTTCAGTCTAGTATGAGGATTCCAAGTAAGACGTTTATCCAAATGGAGTCCTAAGTAGCGGATTTGCTCAACAGGAATAAGTGGAGTATTATTGAAAGTTACTGTAGGACAAGACGTCATAGGTTTACGACGGAAAAAAAAAAAAAATTAATTGAAAGTTTAGAGCGTATGTCTACTAAGTGTTGGAGAAGCCCGAAACGTCGAGAAGTTCCTTGTCTTTTCAGTCTTGTGTTATTTATTTGTTTTAAGTCAGACGTACGGACGGATTTACGGGAGGGGGCTTTCGGGCTGAAGTAAAATACCATTCAAAATCGTAAAATAAAAACATATTTTATGGAAAAAAATATTAAAAAATTATCGCTTAAAGTATTATTGTTCGTGTAATCACTTTTAAAAGGACTTTATAAATCAGTTCCAAACACCATTTCATATAGGTAGTTAGTTTATTTCTTT